GCCAAACTCCACAGAAAAAAAGTGTGACGCCATCCCCACCCATATTATTAGCCTTATTAGCAAAGCCTAATAAGAAGCGCAGCCTCACCAGGCTGCAACACAGCACATCTCACCCTCCCGGCCAAGGTGCTGTCATTTAAGGTCCAGTAAGAAACCTGACAGCTACCCCAGTCCACTAGAATGAGGCACCCTCCCATTCCCCATTCCCAGACTGTCAACAGAGGCCAAGAAGAGAAACTGGACTTCCACCCTACCTGGCAGTAATAAAATAGCACATTCCTTTCCCTTGCCAGTGTGGCGTCAGAGAAGACCTGCTAAAAACAGATTTAAGTAAGTCTCATGAAATTGCTCAAAATGTCCAGGATCCAATTAAAAAAATCACCACACCAAGAACCAGGAAAATACCCACTTGAATGAGAAAAGAAAACCAAAAAGACATCAACACCAACGTCTGGAATACCTGACAAGGATTTTAAAGCAGCCCTCACAAAAATGCTTCAATGAGCAATTAAGAACGTGTTTGAAACAACTGAAAAAGTACAACACAGCAAAGAAAAAGAAGATTTAAAGAACCAAGTAGAAATTCTAGAACTAAAAAATTTAATCACCAAAATAAAAAACTCACTAGATGAGCTCAAAAGCAGAGTAGAACCAATTGAGGGGTAAAAAAATCAGGGAACTTGAACACAGAACAATAAATACTACTCGATCTGAATGACAGAGAGAAAATAGAGCAACAAAAACGAACAGAGCCTCAGGAACCTGTGGGACTGTAGCAAAAGACCTAACATTCATGTCATGGGAGTTCCAGAAGGGAAGGAAAAAGAATGTGGGGCTGGAAAGTATCCAAAGAAATAGTGACTGAAAATATTCCAATTTTGGCAAAACAACCTCAAAGAGTAACACGGGAAAACTATAAAGAACTCTACTCACATAAATTTGGCAACTTAGATGAAATGTACTAATTCCTCAAAAAGCTACTACCACAGCTCACCCAACCCAAATAATTTGAATAGCCCTATAATTATTAAAGAAATTGAATTTGTAATTTAAAACTCTCCCCAAAATCTCCAGACTCAGATGGTTTCACTGGAAAGCTATACCAAATATTTAAAGGAGAACTAAAACCAACTTTAAACAATCTCTTTCAGAAAACAGAAGAGGAGGAAACACTTCTCCGGGTCATTTAATGAGGTCAGTATTATACCCTGACACAAAACCCAAAGACATGGGAAAAACAAAGAAAAACTAGACCAATATCCCTCATAAATACAGATGCTAAATCCTTCAGAAAATATTATCAAATAGAATTCAGTAATATAGAAAAACAATTATACACCACGACCAAGTAGAGTTTGGAATATGCAAGCCTGGTTCAACATTTGAAAATCAATGTAATGCAGCACGTCATCAGGTTAAAGAGGAATTATATGATCATATGAACTGACACAAAAAAATTTGACAAAATGCAACGTCCCATTCATGATAAAAACTCTCAGCAAGTTGGAAATGGAGGGGAACCACTTCAACTTGATAAAGAGCATCTATAAAAACTACAGCTAACACACATAATGGAGAAAAACTGCATGCTCCTCCCTAAGACTAGGAAGAAGGCAAGGACGTCCACTTCACCACTCTAATTCCACATCGTATTGTAAGTCCTACTCAGTGAAGAAAGACAAGAAAAGGAAATAAAAGGCATATGGATTGGAACAGAAGACGTACAACTAACTACCTCTACCTGCAAATGGCACGGTGTGCCACATAAAAAAACCCAAGAAACGTACAAAAAAATTCCTCGAACTAATAAGTTAAGCACATAAGACTAACAAGATCAACATAAAAATCAATTATATTTCTACATACTAGCAATAAAACATGTGGAAATTTAAATTAAAAATATAATACCAGTTATGATAGCTCAAAAAATTAAAATACCTTAGGTATCTAACAAATCTAACAAAACATATGCAGGGCTTGTATACTAAAAATTATAAAATGCTTATGAAAGAAATCCAAGAAGATCTAAGTAAATGAACATATTGTGTTCACAAATTGAAAGACTCACCATAGTAAAGACAGATGTCAATTCCCCTTCAAAATGACACACAGGTTTGACACATTTCCTATCAAAATCCCAGCGATATTTTTGAGAGAAACAGACAAACTTAATGAGGCAAACTTAATTAAGGCAAAGGAACTAGAACAGCCAAACAATTTTGAAAAAGGTGAATAAAGTTGAACTCCTACACAATTTTAGAAATCAGCATAAAGTTACAATGAAGACAGTACAGTTATTGATGAAACAATACACATATAAATCAACAGAACAGACTAAAGAGTCCAGATCTAGACCCACACAAATATGGTCACTTGATTTTTTACAGTGGAGCAAAGGCAATTCAATGGAGAAAATAGTCTCTTTAACAAATGGTGCTGGAACAATTGTATACCCATATTGTATATACATATCACACCTCATTAAAAAACAAAAACAAAAAAACTCAAAATGAATCTTTCATCTATATGTAAATCTAAAAGTGTAAAACTTTTAAAAAAAACAATATAGGTGAAAAATCTTCAAGACCTAGTGTTACACAAAGAGGTCTTAGATGTAACACCAAAAGCAAGATCAATAAAGGAAAAAACTGACAAACTTGGCTTCATCAAAATTAAAAACTTTTGCTCTGCAACACTGTTAAGAGAAGATAAACTACAAACTGGAAGAAAATTTTGTAAATCACACATCTGAACCTATATTTACAAAGTATAAAAAACTGTCAAAACTCAACAGGAAGGAAACAACCCAATTTTTTAAAATGGGAAAACATTTGACCAAATATTTTACAAAGGGATATTGGGATGACAAATAAGCTCATGAAAAGATAATCAACATTATTAGCCATTAGTGAAATGTAAATTAAAGCCAGGATAAAATATGGTATGTACCCCTATAGAATGGCTAAAATAAATATTTTAAAATTTTTAAGTTTCAATTTTCAAGTGCTAGTTGAAGATGCAAAGCAACTGGAATTCTTATAAATGCTAATGGGAATGTAAAGTAGGACAGACACTGGAAAAATGTGGTAATTTCTTATAAAGTGTAATATTTACTCACTATATAATATAGCAATCCCACTGGGGTTAAGGTGGTAAACTGTACAACCATTTTAGAAAGTGTCCTTATATGATGAAGTGGGCAAACCCTATGACTCAGGAATTCGATCCCAGGTATAGAGCCTAAAGTATGTCTGGCAGATGTGCCCTCTGGCCACCACCCGCTGGTTCAAAGCACCACTGTTTATAATATCCCAAACTGAAAACCAATACGTCCTTGAATAGAATAGTGGAGAAAAAAATTATTGCCTGCTTGTTAAATGGGATACTATAAAACAGCTAAAAAATACTATAGCTTTATGCCTGGTCTTGGAATGATCCTTTGAAGACAACAGACAAGGCTGATTAACAAAAGAAAGGCACTGAAGAAAACATAGAGTATAAAACAACTTCTATATAGAATCCAAGTACATGCAAAACTATTCAATACATTTTTTCCTGGGATACATACAATTTTAGTGTAATTATAAAGAAAAGCAAGTAATTGACAAGGCTAAAATTCAAGACAGTGACGGGGAGGGAGCTGTGATGACTGGAACTACAAAAAAGGTCATAAGCGTAGAGTTCTATTAAGTTCTCTTAAGATTAGTGATGGATACACAGATCTTGAGTTGAATAGTATTCTTTACACCTTCGAGATAGGTTTTATAATTTCTCTCTTATATGTCATATCTCTTATTTTTAAAATGGGAAAAGGGGCCAGCCCGGTGGCACAGCGGTTAAGTTCACATGTTCCGCTTCTCGGAGGCCAGGGGTTCGCCAGTTTGGATCCCGGGTGCAGACATGGCACCATTTGGCAAAAGCCATGCTATGGTAGGCATCCCACGTATAAAGTGGAGGAAGATGGACATGGATGTTAGCTCAGGGCCAGTCTTCCTCAAAAAAAAAAGGGAAAAAAATAACTACACACAAAAATCTTGATCAAAAAGAAAATACATGAGCCTGAGACAAAGCCCTGGACCCACCCCTACAACCTGCTGAATTTAGGCTCATTCCAAGATGAGGTGTCAAAAAGCCTGGTGGCATAGTAGTTAGGTTCACCCACTCTGCTTTGGTGGCTTTGGGTTCAGGGGTTTGTCCCAGTATGGACCTACACACGGCTCATCAAGCCACGCTGTGGCGGCATCCCACATGAAAAATAAAGGAAGACTGGCACAGATGTTGGCTCAGTGACAGTCTTCCTTGAGCAAAAAGAGGAGGATTGGCAACAAATGTTAGCTCAAAGTCAATCTTCCTCACCAAAAAAAAAAGGAACCAGTGCAAAATATAGTCAAGGGTACGACTAGAAAAAGGGAAAGAAAAACAAATGGCTGAGCACGTACATGCAGCAGCAAAATGACCAGGAAGCAAAGCAAATCAATGAGGAAATACTTCAGATCTAAGTATTCAAATTCAGTGAGGCTGATGAAGGAAGAGCACAGAGAAGAGATGCAAATACAATAGGAAGAAATTAAACTTCTGAGGAAGTCCAAAGGTTTGAAAATATTTCCGCAGGAAATGGAGAGAAGAGGTTTTGAGTAACAAAGCCTTGTACAAATTTGTGACTTTAAATATGTGAGTGTATTGCCTTAAGAAATAAAAGAAAATAAAACTAAAGTAAAAAGAGCCTCTTTCCCACCACGTCTCAATACCCTTAAAGGGGTTCTTGAAGGCTGGTGCAGATGTCTCATCCTTCCAGGTCCTGGGATTACCACCCGTCCAGGACTCGCCCGACATCCCTGCCCTAAGGGACGGGAGTCCTCAAACTCGGCCCCTTCTGGCTCTCCTTGTCTCGGTCTCCCCAGGTGGGCTGGCGACTCCCCGACTAGAGCTAAGGATCCTCTTGGCTCCCTCCGCAAGGACTCCCCCTGCCCCATCCCAAATCTCGGCCTGTCCGTGCTCACCCCCAGAGAGCTCAGTCCCCAGTCGGTTCCGGGTGCGCGGCCCTCGGCTTCGGACTCGCCGTCCGTCCAGCCCCTCACCTCGGGCTCCGAGCCTCTGCGCTCCCGCTCTTCCTCACACCCGGCGCCTTGTCGTTTCCCTGAGCACCTAGAGGAGGGTGGAACGCGGGGGACTTGGCATTTGTAGCTGATGCAGTTGAGGCTTGTTTACCATCACCATGGAAACCCCTGGCGGCGCGCCCTGAGCGGGGCTCCCGAGGGGCGGAGTCAGGCGCGCGGCAGGCCCGAGTCCACAACTCCCGCTCGTCGTGCGCACGCGGCGCTTCCGGAAGCCCTTGCGTGCCCGGTCGCTACTCGGCCCTCCGCCCCAGCACTCGGGAGCAGCAGCCCCAGGTCCCCGCGGCCCGGCTCTGCTTCCAGGTTCTCGCCAAACCCCTAGCTTCTTCTCCTGGAAGATGCAGCACTTCCTACTTCCAGGACGAAGCCGGAAAGACGCAAAGACCGCGGCAAGGCGGGGCCTCCGCGGCGGCCGGCCAAAGATGGGGCCGCGAGGGCACCATCGTGACGCACCGGGAGCGGAGCTGGGGATTGGCCGGCGGGCGCAGGGCATGCGGGGCGGGGCGGTGCCGGGAGGGGCGCGGCGGGACTCCGGCGATCCTGGAGGGGAGGGTGTGTTGAGTGCTCCTGAGCCCCTGAAAATACTGACTGCGAGAGGCGCTCAAACGGTGAGCCCAAAGGACGCGTGGATTAAAGACCATCGTTTGAGAAGAAATGAGAGTCGTTTCCTGCCGAGGAAGAAATAGGGAACCGAGAAACCGGAGACAAAAAAGGCGGCTGCGAGGGCAGAGCTTGAGCAGGGGGTGCAGGCTGTGCTCCCAGCTCTTAGGTCGCCTACTCCGCACCGTTAAGTCGCCCCACCTTCCCGTTCCTCCGAAAGCCAGGACTTTGGCCTTGGGCCTGGTCCTCAGGGACAAAGTGCTGCGACAAAGGATGTCACCACCAAGACCTTTACTGCTGGGGAAACTCGAGACGGTTCAAAGTCATTTGGGTTCGTGCTACGTCCAGGCTGTGTTTTTGCTCTAAACAGAACAGGTTGGACTTGCCAGACCTTGGTGAGGAGGAGTTAGGCAGATGTACACAGCCGGAATTAGCTGTATCAGGGACCAAGAATTGTCATATTTCTGTAGCAAAAGCTCCTAAGCAACTTCCTTTTGCTTTCCATCTTAATCATCATCAGGTGCAGCACTGTTATGGCAAAAAGCCTCCCTAAGAGCCGCGGTTCGTAGCTGGCCTGGATTCCCTGATGAACATAAACAATGTCATAGAATATTGACATCAGATGAGGTCTCTGACAGAATGGAAGAAGAAAATAAGACTGATCATGCGTAAACAGATTAAAAAAAAAAGACACTGTGCAACCACAAAAGGATGACCAAACAGCTTTCCGCAGCTAACACGAGTGACTACTGCTTTTCCACTGACAACTCTAGCCCTGCTCCATTCCTCCTACTTTCTAGATTAAGATAATCATTGAATTGCCCCTGCTTTCTAACAGTATCCAATCCAGAACAGACCCATTTCCTTGGACCCTCCCCAAAATCACCTAACACCAGTCCAAATACTATAATAAGCCCGCTTTAGCACTCCTTTCATGAGACGCCCACCCCATGGTTCCCCATGGTGTGAGGTCTTCCACTCTGCAGCAACTAATAACCCTTCATTGCCAGACAATAAGTATGTCCTTGGTAGTCTGACCGGTGGGCACTGCCAGTATGAATTAACTTTGATATTTATACATGAATTATACGTAACTCATACACCAAAAAAAAAAAACAACACCCTAGAGCCTATACTTTAATGAGAAATCAAACATTGTGAATGGTAAAATGGGACGAGATCTTGGTGTATAAAAAGCTTATATGCTAAGTGCAATGTGGGATTCCGGATGGGCTCCTAGAACAGTACAAGGACATTAATGATAAAATCAGGTTAAAGTCTGTAATTTAAGAGTATTGTGCCAATGTGAATTTCTCAGATTTGACAAATGTGCCATAGTTATATCAGACATTAAGTATAGGAGAAATGGTGAAGAGTATACAGGAGCTCCCTATCTTTGCAACTATTCTGTAGATTTAAAATTACTCCAAAATAAACATTTTTTAAAAAAAGAAACAAAAACCTCGTATGCACAATTTAATCTGAAAGGAGGAGACTTATTTTTGCTTTTGACTGGGGTGGTGGGAATGGTTATTGCATCTTGTGGTGCCCTGGTTTGAGTGGCAGAAATATAGTAACAATCACAGCTCTTCTGCCTCAATTCCAGCCTCTGGCTCTTCCCTTCTCAACATTTCAGGGTTCTTCCCTGGGTCCCCACACACCACCTCAGCCCCTCTGGGCATGTAGCCATCAGTCAGTGAAAGTGATCACACCTGGTCTAGGTCTTGCCCCACTATCTTGTTGTCATGTAGATGAAAGTAAGTCCTGATGGCTTTCAGAGTGGAAATAAGCTGTAATTGGGTAAGAACCACAAAGGTACAGGAGGAGAAGTTGTGTCAAGGCAGCATTGTCAAATCAAAGGAGAAGGAAGCAAGTGCCTCTTTCGACTCCAAACACATTAACACATCTCCTGAGCTTTCCTTGGTGTGGCCTTATCTCACAGCCCCCAGCATTCACCCCAGACTCAGGAGTTAATTGACACTGTAATGGAAGGCATCAGGCTCTGATACACCAACAAAACAAAATAGGATACCCAAGCCTGGACACTAGATAGTCACCAGGGGACTAGATAAAACAGGCCAGCTTTTGGCAGTAACAGTGGATAGAAGTTCATTATGTGGTGGGAGTGGAGGCTGCCTCTATAGCAGTGTGGTCCAATACAAATATAATGTGAGCCACGTAGGTGATTTTAAATTTTTCTAGTAGCCACGTTTACAAAAGTAAAAAGAGATAAAATTTTAATGTTTTTATTTGAGTCAACATATCCAAAATATCATTTCATATGTAATCAATATATAAAATTATCAATGAGATATTTCATATTCCTTTTTCTGTATTAAAACTTTGAAACGATATTTTCCACTTACAGCACATCTCAATACAGGTGCTAAATTTTATGGGAAATACTTAGACGTATATTTAGACTTCATAAAATTTACAGTTGAAAAAGTAGATTCACATATCCATATTGTTCCAAACATACTTAAAAGTTTTCTAATAACTGAATTGAGTATCAGTTTTTAAATTTAAGGTGAGGATGTGGAGAAATTGGAACTCTTGTGTGTTGCTGATAGAAATGTGAAATGGTGCAGCTGCTGTGGAAAACAAAACACTATGGCAGCTCCTCCAAAAATTAAAAAGAACTACCATATGATCTAGCAATTCCATTTTTGGATATATAGCCAAAAGAATTGAAAGCAAGCTCTCAAAGAGATATTTGTACACCAGTTGTTCATAGCAGCATTATTTACAATAATCAAAAGGTGGAAGCAACCCAAGTGTTCATTGACAGTTGAATGAATAAATAAAATGTGGTATATACATACAGTGGAATATTATTCTGTCTTAAAAAGGAAGGAAATTCTGAGACATGCTGCAACATGGATGCACCTTGAGGATATTATGTTATGTGAAACAAGCCAGTCACAAAAAGACAAGTACTGCATAATTCCACTTACCTGAGGTATCAAAAGTAGTCATATTCATAGAGCCAGAAAGCAAGATGGTGAAGTTGCCAGGGACTAGGGGGAGGCAGGAGATGGGGAGTTGTTTTCTAATAGGTAGAGTTCCAGGTTTTCAAGATGAAAAGAGTATGGAGATTAGTTATACAGCACTCAATGTACTTAACACTACCAAACTTAGAAATGGTTAAGATGGGGCTGGCCCGGTGGCACAGTGGTTAAGTTCGCACGTTACGCTTCGGTGGCCCGGGGTTCACCGGTTCGGATCCCACTGCTTGGCAAGCCATGCTGTGGTAGGCGTCCCACATATAAACTAGAGGAAGATGAGCACGGATGTTCGCTCAGGGCCAATCTTCCTCAGCAATAAGAGGAGGATTGGCAGCAGATGTTAGCCAAGGGCTAATCTTCCTCAAAAGCAAAAACAAAAAAATAGAAATTGTTAAGATGGTAAATTTTATATGGAGTATTTTACCACAATTAAAATAAAAAGTCAGGTCCTCAGTGGCACTATTCCAGTGCTCAGCAGCCCTGTGTGGCCAAATGTCCCCCTTATCACACAGTGCAGCTTTAGACTAAGAGAAAGAAGGAACTGAAATCCTACTATCTTCAACTGCCTCTCTGAATGGGCAGCCCCGGCTCTGTCTCTGCTTGGAGCCCCTACCTTTCTTTACTCCGCCTGGAGGGTCAGAACCTCTTACCTAAATCCTAGGTGTAGTAAATACTCACATTAATTACTTCAGAATAAGCTTCAGTTTCTTTTAGGGGGTTTCCCTTTTGTGCAGAAAGAAGTGCAGGATTCTAATATGTTAGCCATCCACTTAACCCCGTGGGTGTAATATTTCTCAGACGGGAGGCACAGGAAACTTCCTCTAACTCCAATTTTCACCCCATAGAATTTATCCCAAAATGGATTCTTTCACACTGAAATCAATGTGATGCAACCTCTAAGCTTTGAAAGTAACTATATAAAGTTGTCTCACTTGTGAATGGCGCAGAGATTTGAAACCCCAGGGCCAGAGGAGAGAAGGAGCAATGGGAGGCATCATCAAGGTTTGCTCTTGACTTTCCCTCTAGGGCTTAAGTGTGGTTGGCTCTTATTTACAGTTTTTAGTACAGTTTAGGTTCCTAACAAGTGCTTAATATGTATTTTAGACAAGGATTGAGTTGTGTTGTTTTATAGTAATGTTTGTATTTTATTACCATGTGATTTAATCAAATTTTCTCTTGTCAAAGTCTTTTTAGTTACATGTGGCTCTTGAGAATTTTTATTCTTTTCTGAAAAGGCATAATGTATATCTTATCAGACTTGTCATACATTATGCCTTTTCAGAAAAGAATAAAAATTCCTCAGCTGGGTGGTAAGCTCTCTAAACGCAAGGACAGAACAATTTGCTTCTCTTTATCTTCCATACCGTTAAGCACAGGGCTCAAATAAGTTCTCACTAAGTATTTGCTGATTTCTGGAAATGCTTTTTATGTAGATATTCCTGTGTTTTAAATGAAATTATCCAGTTTTAATTAACAAGGGTTAAATGTCTTTGTTGCTCAACAGCAATCAAGGGCAGGGACCAAGTTCAGCTTAGCTACTGCTGTAGCCAGAGCAGCTGGCACGGTACCCTGCCTGAAGGAAGGACTCAAGTAGTGTTGAGTTAAACTGCTTTAAAATGAATAGATAGGGGCCAGCCAGTGGCTTAGTAGTTAAGTTCATGTGCTCTGCTTCAGTGGCCCAGGGTTCGCAGGCCTGGGTCCTGGGCACAGACCAAGCATCACTTGTCAAGCTACACTGTGGCGGCATCCCACATAAAATAGAAGAAGATTGGCACAGATGTTAGCTCAGTGACAATCTTCCTC